GTATTTAGTAATGACTCAAATTGGTGTTGGGTATGAGATTTTTTGGTTTTTGGTGTTTGGTTATGAACCGAACTTACCTTGGTTTTGAGATTTTGTGATGTTTTTGTTATGATCTAATTTAATTTTAGTTATGACCCAAATTGATAGGAGTTATGAATCATTGTGATTGAAAATTTGAGTGCATATTGACATCATATGCACCAAGGGGTATAAATCTGGCTCGGTCTAGCCTGTCCTGCTCCACTATTGGGCCGTGTGGGCTCCTACCAAAATTTGAGTAGGGCCGAGCCAGGCCACGTGACAAAAAATTAGGTCCAAGCCCACTCAAAATAGGGCCGCAGGCTAGACTTGTTTTTTTTTTTTTTTTTGACAAAAAATAATTGATGCATACATTGTATATATAGATTATTTATGAGGAATAAAAAGCAAAAGAAAAATTGTATTATAGTATTTTAGTTAAGAGTAATGAGATGTTTGGTTATGTTTCATATGGTGGTATTGTATGACTTATGGGTTTTTTAGTTATGTACTAAAAAAATATGAAGGTATGTAAGTTTCTTCTTTTATTATGACATTATTTTAGTTATTATGATTCATGAGAGCTATTTGGTTACGACTTGTGTGATGTTTAGTTATGGCTAAGTATTTTATTTATTTATTTATTTTTGGTTACATCAGAAATAAAAACAAGGAAATACGCCCATTCCTTAGATATGCCTATTATATCAGCAACAAGTAAACTTCTGATCTCAGTTGGTGGTTCATTCACCACCAGTATATCCTCCGATTGTTCTGCTCCAAGTTTAGCAAGCGCATCAACACACAGATTAACTTTTTTCCAAACATGTTGGATAGTGCAGTTGCATCCTCGTAGCAAAATTTTGGCATCTTCCACTAGATTCTTGAAAGGGCATTTCCTTCATCAATTGGGCAACTTGAGTTGCATCTGTCACTATGATCACATCATTTAATCCTTGTTGAAGAATGACTGTCAGACCCTTGTATAATGCCCATAATTTTGCTTCAAGACTTGTTCATGGTTGCAATATGCCATAGTAACCACACACCCAAGCTCCTCTTTCATCTCCGATCAGTCCTCCAAAGCCTCTATCTTCTTATATTTTCCTACTTCCATCTGTGTTAAGCTTTAGTTTCCCTGCAGGTGGTAAATTCCAAGACATAAGTTGGTAAGCTAGTTTAGGAATTGATAAAGAGTTAAGGAAAGCTAAATGGATCTCTCTAGAGTAATCTAAAATGTATTTGGCACTCTCTTGGTAACTAGTGACTTTTCCTTCAAACACAAACAAATTCTTGTTTTTCCAGATTTTCCACAAAGCAATAATAAAAATAGTATACCAAGAGAGGTCTCCATTAAAATAATTTTTGTTTTTAACATTACTCATGAGCCAATCTAGCCAAATTTCCCCCCTTATATTTAGGTACCATTGTCTGTTAAAAATTGTAAGCCAAACTTCTTTGCCTTATAACAGTCTCTAAGCAAATGATTAATGTCCTCAGTCATATGGGGCATTGAGCATCATTTGTCAAACCTCTTTTTATTTTCATTTGATTAGTGAGAAATTTGCCATGAAGCACCGTCCATAAGAAACCTTTGAGTTTTGTGGTAATCTAAGCTTCCAAAACCAATTTCAGTCCTCCTTCTTATCATTACTTCTCAAAATAAAATCATAAGCAGAGGAACATGAAAAGTCCTATTTAGAGATCGCTTCCATAGAGGAATATCCCTGTCTAGATTCCTTGAAGGAATGGATTTCAAGATTATAGCAGCCAAATGGGGTGGGGATTTGCTATGCATAATAACCTCATCCCAATTGCCATCCTCCTCCAAAAACTCTCTCACATTATCACTTGCAGTGGGATTACTCTGGTAAGGAAAATTCGTATCTGAGACAGTTTCCTTAAAGGAACTATCTCCACACCAAAAATCTTTCCAAACATTGATAGTGTTACCATCACCAACTTTCCACTTCACAGCTTTTCTTAATAAAGTCCTGGTGGTCAAGATACCTCTCCAAACATGAGAAGCATGTCTTCCTCTTTTCCAGTCATGGAAAGAGGTGTTATTTAAGTATTTCTTCTAAAGAAACTCACACCATAAACGACCTTTGTTCCTGACAAGATTCCACCCCAGTTTAGAGATCAAAGTTAGGTTTTGATACCTTGCTTTCTTGATCCCTAAACCCCCATTCTTTTTCACATTGCACACTACATCCCATTTAACAAGATGGACTTTGTTTTTCTCCTTTGTATCACCCAGAGAAAGTTCTTGTTCAGTCTATCAATATCATTACACACATTTTTAGGTAAAAGCATAGTTTGCATTGTGTAACAAGGAATAGAAGAAGTCATAGATTTTATGAGTGTAGCTCTACCTGCCATGGATAAGGTGTTAGCTTTTCACCCAGCCAATCTTTTTTGCATTTTATTCAAAATATCATTGAACAATCCTTTATTCATTCTTCCATGTAAAAATGGCACACCCAAATATTTCCCTAAACCAGCAGAAAGAAGGATCCCACATTTAGTACTAAGTTCTCTAGCTCTCTGTCCATCAACATTAGCAGAGATAAAAATCTTAGACTTATGTGAGTTAATTTTCAACCCAAAGATACTACAAAACTCATCCATGACCTCTCTAATTGTCTCACAAGGGGCTATATTAGCCTGCCTAGCTAGCATAAGATCATCAGCAAAAAAGAGATGAGTCAGGGTTGGCCCACCTCTAGAAATTTCCACTCCTTTCTAGCTTTTTTCCCTTGCTTTAAAACTGATCATATTTGATAGCCTTTCAAGGCTGAGCACAAACAGATAGGGGGATAAGGGATCCCCTTGTCTCAAACCTCTTAGGGGTTTAAACTCCCTCAGGGATTCACCTTCCCAAATGATAACAGTGCTGACAGTGGTAACATAACACATGATAAGCTCAATAAAGGGGTTGTTTGGGATGAACTAAATAAGTGTATTTTTTTTACTTTTTGGATTAAAAAGTAGAGGAAAAAAAGATGGTTGTTTGGGATAACTTTTTGACTTTTTATGAAAAATATGTATTAAAATATTGTTTAAAATAGCTAAATTACCATATTACCCCTAAATATATAATTGCCTACTGATAGTGACGGTACTGTCATGCATACGGTTGGCAGCAAAATGTATAAGACCAGATTGCCTACGGTGCTATTCGGACTAGACGGTACTGTTCGGCCCGTGGGAGCCCATCACGTGTCTCGTTTTGATAATCGAAACCGTTCAATGTGTAGAACTCGTCGAATACTATATGCTTGTAAAAAATTACGTTGATCGGATATCGATAGCTATTTGATTGGATTAGTTTTTTGTCAACCGTTACTTTGTGCACCCTCAATTTTTTTTTAATACAAAACTAATTTGATCATATAATTATCGATATCTGATTAACGTGATTTTTTACAGCCATATAGTACTTAATGAGTTCTACACATTGTACGGTTCAGATTATCAAAATGGGACCCGGGCCCCCACGGGCCAAACAGCATTGTCATGTGTATCACGAGAAGTGCATCCGACTGTCTAATGTATACCAGTAGCACTGCAGACAGCACATCACTTCAATACACTTTTTGACTTGTACTTTTTTTGTAAATTTATTTTTTTTGTGAATAATAATAACTTTTTGACTTTTTTAGTAATTTTTTGACTTTTTATCTTTTTTCATGGATGTCAAACCAGCCTTATTTTATATGTATTATTTACACTAATTTATTTACAAACACCTAAAATATATACAAACAAACAAAAAAATCACATAAAACTATAAAATAATACAAATTAATAGACTAATAAAATGTATGTTAGTGGGTCAAATGTGTAACATTTAGGCTCCGATCAAGATCGAACCACGTTAAGGCCTAGTTTGGGATACATGAAAAAAGCCAAAAAGTCAAAAAGTTACTCAAAAAGTTAAAAAGTTATCACTATTTACCAAAAAAAAAATATAAAAAAAATGAATTTGACACTTAATTATTACAGGTGCCTGTCTCCCCACAGACTTTGTTGACTTTTTTGGAAAAATTGCACAGGTGGGGTGCAAAACAACACGGTGTTGTTCGGCCCGTGGGGGCCCATCACGAGCCTTGTTTTGATAATCTGAATCGTTCGATGTGTAAAACTCGTTGAGTACTATATGCTTGTAAAAATTCACATTGATCGGATATCACTAACTACATGATCAAATAGGTTTTGTATAAAAAATGGATAGTGTTATAGTTAACAGTTGACAAAAAACTAATACGATCAGATAGATATCCGATCAACGTGATTTTTTACAAACATATAGTACTCAACGTGTCACGCCCCACATTTTATCACTCGGATAACATTACCATAGTCATTAATTAAGTCCATTTACAAATAATATTTCATCCTTGGATGAAATGATGAATAATTAAATATACGTATTCCCTCTCGTTATACAAAAATGACATTTACATACAAATAAAAAAAATAAGGCTTACAATAAAAGAGAGGACACTACTTTTTATAAAAAAAATAACACTCAACCAAACAACAAATGAAGTAGTACAATTTATCACTACATTACACTTATGAAATGGTAAAACCCATTGTTTGATCTTCAAATCTGGAATGTACACATGTACAGGCAGGGGGTGAGCAACCACTAGCTCACCAAACAATCTCATATTAAAACATTAGAAGATATGCGGGTACCAAAATACTTGTACATATACGTGAAATCATATCATGTCAAAACCATATGATTTTATTACATAATCTTTTAAATCCAATTTATTTAATTAACCACAACAAGTTAACTTAAATAAATAAACATGTTTCAATAGCATCAGGACATCCTTTTCAATTCATTCAATTATCTCGTTATCAATTAAATCAAATAATTAAACAATTCATCAAATCCATTTTATACAGTCTTATGAGATGTGTAATGCCCCAAATTTCTATCCCAAATGATAATACAACAATCATGGCTCTTTCAAGAAAAACTGAATATAAATCTCCAAACTTACATTACATGATACAATAGTTCTTTATGCAACAATACATTAATCCAACAACAAGTAAATAAACAAATAAATATCCCCAAGGGTTTGCAAGTTTTCAAGGCTTGAGTCTGGTTACACAAAACGGATATTCAAACCCACACACATACAACCCTTGGCTTACACACAGAGTCACAGCAAAATGAGAGTCTCGTACTCTTAACACACATTTCCTTGCCCTTAGTTAGGCGGCATCACCACATCTTTTCCTGCACAAAAACCCCGTAGGGTGAGCATAAAGCCCAGTAGAAAATCCTTAACAAAGTATCTACATTTTATACAAGTCTCAAAAGATGAAATACACATGCCATGCTATGCCCTTTTTGAAGATAAATCACATTTTCATCTTTTGAAAACCATCATGCTCAATGATGTCATGCAATTTCAATTGTTCAAAACTTAACAATTTATTTCAAGGGCGGTAAATACGACTCTAATAATCCCTAGGTTGATGTTTGCAAGTAGACTATACAAGTACTACCAATTTGTCATTTTTACCAGCATTGACTGGAAGGCTCGACACCTATCCGCGAGGGTTTTCAGTTTTTCACCCTGGACTCTCAGGCCAACTTATTCAATATCATCTAACCACCCTATAAAGACACTAGGAAGCGATCCCGGTTTACCCTTGGTTTGTAGCAGTGATCCGGACAAGTTGGTCCGTGGATTTGTAGTTTTACATCTATTTTGTGTTGCGCATCCTTTTTATTCGTATTGATTATCAGGGGATCGTGTTGGGCTGGTTTGTTTCAGGTTGGTTGTGCTTTCTGGGAGCCTAAGATGTTGCTGCCCCAGAGAATTTTTGGCCTTACGCTCGAGCCAGGAGTTTTGTTCTCGAGCGAGAAAGTTTTTGAGTTGTGGGTCGGTGGTTCCCCGAGAGCAGGTGGCTCGCTCGAAGCGACGCGCACGACGTCTGGTTTTTGGACCTGAGCGAGCTTTCGCGTTTCTTGGCATCGAAGCGAGCTGTTCTTGGCTTTCGAGCGTCTGGTTTTGTTCCTATCGCTCGAGGATGAGGTTGATCGCCGAGCGCTGCTTGGTGGTTGCAGACCTGAGGTAGTTGAGTGTTGGCTCGAGCGAGCATATCCTCGCTCGTAGCGCTTTATGAAGGTTTTATTGGCTCGAGCGAGGACTTTCTTGGGAGCGAAGCGAGAGTTTTCTGTGTCTGCGTCGCTCGTAGCGACGAAAGGCTTCGCTGCGAGCGAGCGTGTTTATATTAAGGGACAGTAGCGTTTTGAACATCCACTTTTTCATCGTTCTTTTTTTTTTGATCAAACCCTAGATCCGAGACCTCTCTCTACACTTATATTCTCTCTAAGAATTGATCTCCCTAGAGTGTGAATCTAGCTAGGCCTTTATTAAAAAGATAGAGGCGTTGAGAGCTTTGTTTTAATCTGAAAAAGTTGGGATTTGGAACACGTTGATCTTCGAGTTCTTTTCTCCTTTTTTGGCTCAAACTTCGAGGTAGGGATATCCTACTCCTCTCTATGGATTTTGTCTTTAAATTTTAGTATTTTGAGATGTTGGGGTTGTTGGTTTTTTGTGGAAAGTTTTTGGGCTTTTGTGCTATTTTACAAAAGTGGGGTTTTTAAATCAAACCTAGATGCATGTTTGGCATAGAAAAATGGAATGAATGTTGAATTATTGAAGAAAAATGGGACCTAAGGGTTGAAATGTTAATTATGGGAATTGACCATTAATTCATTGTTTAATTAATTGGATAATTAATTGTGAAAATGAGGAAATGAAATGTTGATGGAAATATCCATTGTGCATTCTATTTTCTGTTTAAGAAATAACTGCTTTGGGCTATCGGTGGAGGATAGTCGTGATTTTGTTGTAGACAATGCATGATGCATTAGGCAAACTGAAACTAATCAATGAAGTGTGTCTGGAGCTTTGACGGTTGATAGAATACATTAACTACATGTATGAGTGATTGTATATAGAACAATGTGTTTTATAATACGTTATGTGTAGAGGAGGAGATGAGGATGTACTCCGCGGTTTAGGGAAGATAGAGGATATGTACCTCTAAACCGGATAGTGTTGGGAGAAAGATAGGGGATGAACTCCGTAGATACAGCTCAATATTTGTCTAGAGAAGTGAAGATAGAGCTCATATGCTTATCTTTGTGAAGTGGTGGATATAGCTTGTTTATGCTTATCTGTGGAATATGTTGTTATACCATATCTGTTGTAGAATGTGGTTATAGCTTATATGCTTAACTTGTGGATTATTTTTGTTAACATCTCCTGTTGAGAATGTGGTAGTCTTATATGCCTATCCTGTTGAAGAAAACGGGAAAATGAAAGTAATTTGGACTCCATAAGTCGTATTGACATAAATATTGTGATTTATGTGATTGTATCTGTGTTGGCGATCTTATCAATTGCTAATATTTAGTCCATTATTCATGTTGGTTTAGTGTAATTTCTATTGGCTGTGGCTCACCCTATGGGAAATATCATTTTCAGGTGCAGGAAGCATGCCACCTCCAAGGACATAGCTTGGGAGGCTAGAGACGGAAAAATGGTGTCGTTTTACTTTTTGATGTATTTACATGTAAATACAAGCCAAAGGCTTAATGTGATGAGTTAGTACTCTTTTGTTGTAACAAGTGTTAACTTGGAAAGCTGTTAAGCCTGATAGGGCATTTGCTTTTGTTGTTAACATGTAATACTTTTTTATAATGAAACTCTGATAAATGAAAGAATGTGGAACTTTTGAATATCAATGCCCTGTCATATTTGTTGGGTTTTAATGTTAATATTTTGAAAGGGCATTATAAAGACTTACTAACGTATTTACCCCAAAATCATTTCATGAAAACTTGTTTTCTTCATGCAAGTTTTCAAATCACTTTCAAAGTTTAATGTAATCAAATGAATTGTTTATACAACAATAACACAAGATTTATATAAATACTTTTATTCCAATTTATCATCCACAGGAACTAAACATCAAATTCCTCTTTCTCAAGTATCCTCAACAATTAGTCATTTCAAGACTATTTCAACATTTTGAATAATAATTTTCAAAATGAACAACAATTCTCATATTCCTTGAAATTCATCATTTATATAAATATAAATAAGAAATTTTTCAAGCATCCATTTATTTTGACTCACAAAATAAATATAACAATATCATTCATGGATTTTCAGTCTCTTAAAAAAAATCCCCAAATTCTAGGCTTTCTCACCAAAACTATACAACTCAAATATTTTGACAGAAAACTTTCCAAAATCATTTTTTCTTCAATCAATGAAGATCAAAACCCATAAAATCATTTTAAAAGAACAAGAGACAAACCCATTTTCAAAATCGCTCAACTTCTTGAATCAACAATCAATTTTAAAAGCTATCGAAAGATGATTTCGAAAATCATATAGATCTTGCAAATATATATATAACTCTAAGAAAATCCTTACCTCAAGTTTTGAAGAAGAAATGAGATGAAACCTCCAAAATCAACGGTGTCGGAACTCGATCTTCATCACACACAACGAAGCCCTCGAGATGATAACCCACTTTGATGAAGAAGCAACGGCAAAACGCAAATGGATCTTGAGAAATCAAGGTTTTTGATCTAGTTTGTGTAGAGAAATGTAGAGAGAATGAAGAGAAAATGTTTTTAGAGAGAGATATATACAAAACTGATCTGAAATATCAGATTCACGAACTGATATAACATTGTCCGCTTGAGCGTGGAAAGCCCCACTCGAGCGTCGAATACACTTTCTTAGTACTTTTGCAGACAAGTCAAACTTCTGGAATCAAACATTCTTCGTTCGAGCGCATAAACGGCCGCTCGAGCAGACAAGCAACTTTGAATGCATTTTGCATTTTTGCTTCGGCGAGCTAATCGGGCAGCTTGACCCCCGTAAGCTGTATAGGGTGACTCGACCCCCGACATACTCAGCGAAGTGGTAAAAAATGAAAGAATTAACTTCCGATACAACTCTGTGAAAGAATTAATTTCCGATACAACTCTGTAAGGCACAATTCGGGTTGGATTCCCATCTAAAGGTTTGGGGACATTACTGTTCCAAACACACCACTATAACCTGATAACAAAAAATAAGGGGAATACAAGGGAAACTAAGATATGTAACACCGTTCAAAACCATACCAACCCGAGCCTGGAACACTACAAGAGACAAATCAAAATCGGGATCGCTATAAGATGAATGCATATGCCATGTCATGCTCAAAATATTTTTCTCATCTTTTGAAAATCTTACGCACAATGCCAATTTGAAAATACATTAATCCAACAATTTCAATAAAATTCCAAGATGGTAAATACGACTCAAGTAATCCCTAAGCTGGTGTCTGCAAGTAGACTATACAAGTACTACCAATTTGTCATTTTCACCAGTATTAACTGGAAGGCTCGACACCTGTAATCTGTCATTTTTACTAGTATTAACTGCAAGGCTCAACACCTATCCACGCGGTTTTCTGGTCTTTACACCACCTTTCAAGACTTACCACCGTATTTATCCCAAAATCATTTCATGAAAATTTGTTTCCCAACATTCCTTTTTCAATGCAAAGCTTTCAAGTCAAATTTCAAAGCTCATCATTATCAAATGAATTGATATGTCAATACAATAATTAATAATACAATGCAATATTTCTTCCACTTTCAATACCTCCACACAATATTGCTATAGTGATCAAAATTCTCATTTCTCATTTCAATATAATTTCTCAAGATTAATATAAATACTTTTATTCCAATTCATCCATGGGACAACATAATTCCCACACTTAGAGTAATCTCAACCATTTAGTCACTTCAAGACCATATCAACATTTCGAACAACAATTTTTAAAACTTCAACAATTCTCATATTCCATGAAAACCATCATTTATATGTAAACAAATACAATTTTTCAAACGTCATTTATTTTGGCACACAAAATAAATATAACAACATCTTCAAAAATTGTGCACATCTTTCTTAAAAACCTGTAATTTCTAGGTTTTCTCACCAAAACCACCCATTTTCATTTATTGAAAGAAAGTCACCAAAAATATCTCTCTTCAATCCTCATAGTTCAAAACCCTCAATTTCTATTTTAAAAGGAACATGAAAGTAAACGCACTTTAAAAAAAAATCTCTTATCTTCTTGAATCAACAATCAATTTTCAAAACAAATCAAAGGATGATTTTGAAAATCATCTAGATCTTGCAAAAACATATATATAATTTAAAGGAAATCCCTACTTATTAAATATTACCATTTCCATCCTACTATGTCAAAAGTCATGGCATAATCTTAATAACACACTTTTAACCATAACGGATATAACCTTTTAACCAAAACTAATTTAATCCACCATATTTGTAAGTTTATTATATTCAAAAATTTTCAAATTAATAATATCAAACCTAACTTCACATGCCTCATCTCTCAAACGTAACTATATTTCAACATAACCATTTTTCATACCAAGCTATTTAAAGAGGTAATATTTTTCCCAAATTCTCTACCAATAATAATTTCATGACTTTTTCTAAAATTACTTAACCAACATAATATTTAAATAAAAAATTATGAAATATGCCAAATAATAACATTTTCAAGGTTATGAGTTCGAAAGTCCACATTTCATATTTTTATTTTCAAAAAAATAAACACAACTTAATCATCAACATATAATCTTTTATAAAATATCATGAATATAACACTTTTAGAGTTTTTAATCCCAAAATAACTCTATAATTCCTACTTAAGTATTTACTCCATATTCCTCAACATTAATTTATTTTTCTCAAAAATAAATTCCAAATCAATGATAAAAAAAAAATCAACTTTATATTTCTAAAAATAAATCATCTAATCATAATATGATGTAAATACAATCACACGACTATTAAATTTTATTTTCGGATTTCTTTACAAAATTATCAACACAAAATGAATTTTTCGAATCAATCTCAAAATGCCAACATTCTTAAGATTTCAACATAATTTTTCTTCCAAAAATTACTAAACAAAAATCTGAATATATATATATATATATATGCAATACCTCTTATAATGATATATTTTCTCAAAATAACCCTAACATAGTTTTAATGTAAAAATATGAAGAAAATCCCTACCTCAAATAATGAAGAAGAGTAGATTTGGGAGGCAATTCTTGCCCGATCTGAATCCGAGACTACCATTACGAAGATCACAACAAGCTCTCCGACTTTCATTTACAACACTTTTGCAAAATCTCACTCTAAAGACTTCCACTCTAAGCTTAAAGCTTAAGCCAACAATGGAGGAAAAGAGAGAGAGAGAGAGAGAGAGAGAGAGAGAGAGAGACGCATAGGGGTCTTTGCCACCCATCCAAAGAAATGAAATGAAATGGAAAGGAAAAGAAGATGAAATGATGGCCACTACAAAAAAGGAGGGCAACCCACGTGGGTTTGCCTTTCTAAAGTTTGATATTTTCCAAAATAAATATATATATATATATATATAACTTTTGTAATAATATCTCAGAATTTATAATATAAATTATATCATTGATATAATTTTTTCTTACCACAAAATATAATATTTTGCTCATTACACAATACATACACATTTCATTCTTTATAAAATATATATAATTTTTCCACCGTATGGTACACACCATAAAATTAACTATCAAATATTTATTATAACCCCTATATAATAAATAATAATAACTCTCAAGGTGATTACTACCAATCACATAATTAAAAATGACCAATTAGTTAAACATGAGTTACTAAACAAACTCAAATTAAATCTAAATCCAAATCATGGGTCTCACCCATAAGTTAAACATCGCCCAGTTATACATCAAAGTACACCCAACAAACTAATCTCAAGTTATGGCTTAAACACCTAAAACTCAATATCAAATTCTGTTGTACACTAGATCGAACACCAATCACTCCGCAAATTTTCATAAAATAAATACTCATCAATAAATTCTGAAATTTTTACCCAACATACTAGACTCGTATGGGAACAACATATAAAAATTTCATAATTTTCTGAGATCGGGAACTATTTAAAAAAATATAAAACCGAACTGTTTTCGCACAAAATTTACACAGTAATCAAATTCGAAAATTTGCTCAATAAATTTATGCGCTGGCTATTTAAAAAAAAAATTTCTAGGTCATTACATAACGAGTTCTACACATTGAATGATTCTGATTAGCAAAACGGGACCCGTGGTGGGCCTCCACGGGCCAAACATCACCGTCTAATTCAAGCCCGAAAAGGAAGCTACCATTTTCTATCTCCTACTCAGCCCACTACTCTACCCAGACTATACAAGCCATACTGTCTACTTCACTAGGCCAAGTTTGGCATCATCAAAAAAAGCCAAAAAGTTACTAAAAGAGCAAAAAAGTCCATACTATTTACCACTTTTTTGGCGGGAAATTTGTCAATTCAAAAAAAAAAGAACAAAAGAAAAGAAGTGCAAAACAGCGCTGCACAACACTGTGCAGCCACACATCTCAATTGGTTTGATGACGTGGCACACTTCTAAGCCACACATGCCATAAAAAAAAATAATAATAATAAATTGAAAAAGGACAGCAAGTACACTGCACAGTCCAGCTGCTTGTGTCAGTGGGGATAATATAGTAATTTTACAATTTTATACAATATTTTAATACACATTTTTCATAAAAAGTCAAAAAATTAACCCAAACATCCATATTTTTTTCCTTTACTTTTTAGTCTAAAATAAGTGCACTTTTTGTATTTTTGAACTAAAAAGTTGAGGAAAAAAAGATGGATGTTTGAGTTAATTTTTTGTCTTTTATGAAAAAATGTGTAGTAAAAAATTGTATAAATAAAGTGTATAGTGGAAGAAAGGTGATTGATTGTATATAGAATCATGGGGGGCCACCATGGGTCGGTTCGTGGGGGCCACCATGGGTCTCATTTTAATAATCTGAACCGTTCAATATATACAATTCGTCGAGTATTATATGTCCATAAAAAATCACGTTGATCGGATATCGATAGCAATATAATCAGATTAGTTTTTTTTTTCAACAGTTAACTATCACACCTTCCGTTTTGTTTATACAAAACTGATTTGATCATATAGTTAACGATATCCGATCAACGTGATTTTTTATAGGAATATATTAATCAATGAGTTTTACATGTTGAACAGTTTAAATTATCAATAAAGAGTTCTTAGTGGCCCCCACGGGCCCAACATTTTTGTGACTTCACATATAGAATTTTTTTTTTGCCCCAAACAAAGTGTGTAATGCCTGTCTCTATCACAAGACAGCTGAGAACAGCTGCTCAGTCCATTTGTAGTATTGTAATATATAAAATATTTTTTTAATATTTTTTATTTGTGAATAGTAATGTCTTTTTTGCTTTTTGTGTAACTTTTTGACTTTTTGGATTATTTTTGAGATGCCAAACTTGGCCTTACACCCCAAACAACCCTTTTTGACTTTTTATGAAAAATGTATATTAAAAAATTGTATAAAGAAGTGTGTAGGAGAAGATTGGAGATGTGTGTATGACAGCCGCATAATCTGCAAGTCGAATTGATGGTAAGAAATTATTGGCTACTTTTTGGGCATTGTAGTGGACGATTTTGTTCGGTCCGTGGGGGCCATCACGGGTCCCATTTTGATAATCTGAAAACTTCTCATATACACTTATTTGTACAATTTTTTAATACACATTTTTTCGTAAAAAGTAAAAAAGTTAACCCAAACATCCATATTTTTTTCCCCAACTTTTTAGTCCAAAAAGAGAAAAAGTGCACCTATTTAGGACATCTCAAACAACCCATAAATATTGTGTTTTTTTGTGAATCATACATTAATTTATACCATTCTTTCACTTCCAACAATGGTATCAGAGCATACTATCAACAATGGTATTAGAGTGTACCATCAATAGTAGTATCATAGTTTATAAAAAAATTATCATAATTTTCACCAACAGTGGTATCAGAGCATACCACCAACAATGGTATTAGAACGTATCACCAACAGTGGTATAAGAGTTTATAAAAAAAATTGTTATAGGTTGCGTTTGGTAGAGTTTTGTAAATGTGATTTGAGAATATGAGTTGTATTTTGAGTTTGTGAGTTGTGAAATTATGATTTGAGTGTAGAAAATTTGTTTGGTTATGATTTTTAAATAGAGTGTTGAATTGTGTTTTGAAAATGTATGTTGAATTAAGTTTTCGGAAGTGATTGAGGGCCCTAAATTTCGGGGCTCGAATGCCCCGAAATTCCATTTTAGGTAAAAAAAAAAAAAAGGAAAAAAGAAAAAAGAAAAAAACAGTTTCCAAAATTGGAAATTAGGGATATTAGGGGCAACTTTTTTAGGGCCACCAATCGTTTTCCTTAAATTTTAAAAGTTTGATGTGACATGTGAAATAAGAAAATTTGTTTGGTGATGTATTTTGAAAATAGTTTTCAAAACTTAATTTAATCAATAATTTATAATCAAACATACAACTCATATATCGATATTCGTATTTTTTATCAACAATAATAACCAAACTATTTTTAAAATACTGAAATTAAAAATTGATTTTTTTTTTCAATTAATTTTTTTCAGTAATTTTTTTATATAATTTTTTTTTCAAATAATTTTTTCATTTAAAAATAAATCTATGTCAATTATTTTGTGTCAATTAATTTTTCTATCAATTCATTTTTTACGCCTGTACAAACATCTTGTACAATACGTTTTTTATTTTTTTCTAAAATTTTGTTAAAGTCAACAACTTTTGAGAATACATATTAATAAAAATTAACATAAATACACTAAGTTTAATATTTTAAAATACAAATCATAATGTAAACTTTACAAAATATTATCAATTTTTTTTTCCATTTATCTCATGTTATTAATTTAGTAATAAAGTCGTAACAGATTGACCATGCATTATTGTACTTCCATAATCAGCACCCGTGAAGCTAATATAATTGGGGTGAATTGGCGTGCAAAATGACTATTTTGCCCCTCTTGATTTAAATGAAAAGTTGTTACATAAGAACAAAATGAAAAGGGTAATATAGTAATTTCACTTATCTACCGCCTACCACCTATTGCATCATAGATGTGTGTTCAACACTAGGCTAAAGAAAAAGGGAGACGATGTAGACGATGCAACTGTGTGTTCAGTATACGGATGTAATATTATTAAAAAATTAATAATATTAAAAAAAAATAATAGATAAGAAATAAAAAGTAAATAAAAAAAATAAAAAACAATCTGAACCTTCTGAACCTCAGCCTTTCTATAAAATCTGAATCCTTATTCCTTTAACCACACCATCTTCACCGTCTCCTTGCAACACCTTTAGCAGCTCCATCACAAAACAACATTAATAAAATTCAGTGTATCCGTGTGAAGGAAGAATGAAGAATTCAATTACAGGTTAGTTCTATCCCAGTTCATATTAGCTTCACATTTCATATTACCTTCAGAGTAGCTTCAGATAGTCGAAGATCAAAGTAGCTTCAGATCAGGACTAGGACAACCGGCCGGTCATCCCATCTCAGTCCAATTCGCACTCAGTTTCCCTATCTGTTGCCGATCTGTTCCTTTTTTTTCATATCTGTTCCATTTTTTCACACCAACATCATACTGTTTTTGATATATTTTCCATACATTTTTCTTTCACTTTTGCAATCATCATGCTAAGAACAAAACGAACCAGACCCGAACGTGGTGAATTCTCAAACCCTGTTCAACATCAACCACAACAACAACAACAACATGACAATCCAAATAATGATTTTTAACGTATCATCATGAACAAGCCTATTCACATTTTATTGATCGACCAATTGTTACGGGGAGAAATGTAAAACTACCTTCTCAATATGATTCGCTCTTACTTGGTAAATTAGATACAATGGGATGGTTACCTTTAACTAATTTACCAAATAAGGTATATCCCCATCTTATACAATTATTTTATGTTCATTTGACACCCGGTGACCAACAAAATGAACCGTTCAGTCTGACCTCTTATGTGAAGGGGAAAAGAATCACATTCAGTCTCCGTGCTTTCGCACAAATTATTGGAGTTGAAACAGGAGATTTACAATGCTATTTTCAAAATGAATCTGCCTTAGAAAAAATTGTTGATGATGTCACTCAGATTTATACCACAATTTGTGACAACCGATTCAGCGGCACTAATTTACAAGCCAGATATTTAAAACCCCACCTTCGTATTCTTCATCGATGGATAGTTGAAAATGTCACTCCCAAAAAAAGACATTATGATATTGTTTCATCTTTTAATGTTTATTTGTTATATTGTTTTGAAATTGGACAAAAATTAGATTTATGCTTCATATTACTGAAAGAAATGATGATTGCAAAATTAGATACTTTGAGTGGCCGGTCACTACCTTTTGGAGCTTTGCTAACCATAATTTTCAAATTCGTATTCTTCATCGATGGATAGTTGAAAATGTCACTCCCAAAAAAAGACATTATGATACTATTTCATCTTTTAATGTTTATTTGTTATATTGTTTTGAAATTGGACAAAAATTAGATTTATGCTTCATATTACTGAAAGAAATGATGATTGCAAAATTAGATACTTTGAGTGGCCGGTCACTACCTTTTGGAGCTTTGCTAACCATAATTTTCAAAGCGCATGATGTCAACCTTGAAGGTAAAGTGTATGTCAGAACCACTTCACCAATTTATGAGAACACATTGACCCGAGCTGCTGGTGCTGACACCTTGATGGGCTCTATTAATATTGAAAATGAACCACTACCTGATGAGGAACAACCCAATGACAATGTCATGCCACCAAATGAACAACACCATTACCGGACTGATTATTTGGCATTGGAACAAGAACAGTACAATCAGCGCCTACAATAGGAACAACAAATGGCTAATCAGCTCAATAAATTGGGTACTCAATTCGATGAATTTGTCGTCGCTCAGAACTTACTAATTCAACAATTTGGTGAGTTTCGTGTAGACTTAGGAAGACGTGATGAAGTGACAAGGAACCGTATTGATCAGATTGACCATCGAGTCACTCAGCTGTACCATCACTATTTTCCTCCGCCTCCAACACCACCTGATAATGATGCTTAACTTGTTCAAAAAATCAGTTTAAATGGTTCACAAATGTACTGGTTACATTTTTTTTCTTTTTTCTTTTTTTGTTTTGGTTATTTGTTTTCTCATTTTGTTGTGTATTTTTTTTGTTGTTGTTACTTTGTTATAATCTTTTGTATTCACGTCATGAATAACAAAGCTTTTTTTTTTTCTGCATTGTAAAATTAACCAGTCACAGTGTTATAACAATGTGTGAGTTAGATTAATATTTAGAAAAAAAGATTTGTACAAAACTTAAAAAAAAGAACTTAATAAATGTCTAACAAATCCTTCATTTCAATAAAATAAAGAAAACTAAACAATAAAAAAATAATTGGTGTGTATCAATTAATAACAACAATTAAATTAATAACAAAACCAAAAAGTTAACAAGGTGAAAAAAAACAAATTAACAAAAATAATGTTCTCAAATGAAATAAAAAAAGTTATAAAATAATAATCTACTTTTTTTTTTTAATGAAAACGAAAAAGAAGTTAATTTAAACTTGCCTACACAAAGTTAAAAAGAACAAAAAATTTAAAATTCATAAACCGAATTAATAACAAAACCTTCAAATTGTTTAAAATTACACAAAAAGTCAAAAAGACGGATATGTCATGTACAAATCAATTATACAAAATTTTAATTAATAACAAAACCATTATTTTAATAAAATGGAAAAAAAACATTAAATAAAATTTAAAACCCAAAACTCTACCTAATTACACATTTTGTTTTACAAAAAGATAAAAACAATTTGTAACAAAACCATTATTGCACTAGTAAAAAAAAAAAATTAAATTGTCAATCATTGGTGAGTTTCTCAACAGAGGGAAATTGGTTAGCTTTTCAAACTTTGCTTCTGTTCAGCTTCTGTAACGACTTTCTGGGCCGAATAGAAACAAAACCATTATTTCACTAGTAAAAAAAAGAAAATTAAATTCATAAACCATTTAAGCTAATAACAAAGCCAAATTTGAAATAAAATGAAAAAAAACGAAGTTATAAAAAAATGTCAAATACAATTTAGGTGCAATAAAATTATTAAAATTAATAACACATGTATCCGCCGAACAATTTTTTTTAATACAAAGTTAATGAACATCATAAACTGAATGAATATCATAAAGTAACAAGTTTTGCATGCATCATTGAACCATCAAATTGAATAAAATACATAAAATTGCATATTACACATTGCATGAACAGCATATTTAATTGTCTTCGTTACTAACAAAACCATTATCTTGATTAACCATTGTGATGATCTTTGTGTTTCCTTTCATTTCATTGGAATTTAGCCCAATCGTTGTCCGCAGTATTAGTTATCCTACAAAAAGATAAAAGAAGTCAGTAAATCACAGTTACATAAAGTGGGTGAAGTTATGTAATAAGGGCATAATGATTGAAATTAGTAAAATAATTACACTTTTAAAACCATTAGTCAGTACAATATTTACTTGCCTTGTTGACATCCATTTTCTATCTATGGCCAACATGATTTTGCCACATAGCAGTAGCAATTGCATCCCTAACGTTCGATTGGTACGTTAACCCATGTTGTGACATGTCAACAAAGTCAGCTTGGTCTCCAACAAGCCCGTCTGCTTCTGCTTCTGCGGCCATTTCATTATCAGCTTCCATAAAGAATGGGTCCATAGCTGCATGCCAACGGATCCAATTGTGCACTACACAACATGCAATCATGAGAGGCCCTTGTCTTGTAGACTTATAATTTGGCATGGACCGCAATATTGGGAAGCGCTTCTTCAAAACACCAAATGTTCTTTCTATGACATTGAGTAACGACAAATGTCGATGGTTAAACAATTCCTTAGGTTCTGCATAACGACGGCCACGAAACTCTTGCAAGTGATACCGTTGAGACCGAAATGGGGCAAGAAATCCAGGCATGTTCGTGAAACCAGCATCAACTAAATAGTACTTACCTACATGTAAATAATGAATACACAGTTCTGTCAATTGATATGTACAAAAAAAAACAAGGAAAAAAGTGTACCGTATGTTATTTAGGGACAGTCACCATTGGGTGGGTGTGGAAACTGTTGATCAGCTCGTGTAATAGAGTCAACCAAAATAGCGTTGTCGTGAGCGCTACCTTCCCATGCAGAATTAATAAATGTGAACAACATATCGAAGTCGTAAGCTGCGAGTACATTTTGTGATACCGTTGATTTCCGACCGCAGAATGTATTTTGTCTTGAAGCAGGGACCCATGTATCCACCAATGTGCCATCGATAGCACCGACATAATCCTAATTGACAGATATTTGTTTGACATTAAAAGCGAAACAAACTTGGATATTACTTTTATAATTAAAAAAATATATATATTTATTAACCCTTATTGATATGTACAACTTACAGAAGAGTCATATTGTTCGTACCTTGAACTAGGGAAAAAACCTCCTGTCATTTAAAATTTTTTCCGGTATGTCGTCTTGGTTACGTGGTTTAATAATCGTTGATGCAAGCTTGCATAATGCCTGCATAACAATTTTTATGTGCCGACAAATTATTTCCGTGGAGTGTTGAAATCTATCTGCCATTAGTCGATGGTGATCATTTTGTACAAAGGTGTATAAAAAAATTCCAAGCGATTCCTCCACACTGATATGCATATGTTAAGTATCGATAAAGCCATTTTGGAGTAAAGTGTCTTTCAATAAAATGAATGTTTGTGCATCCATTCGCATAACGTTCATCATTGTTTCTGGATAGCCATTTAATAGGCCGAAGATGTAATCATCACCATTGAATGGACACGTTCGCTGCGGTCGGCGACTACTTGACGCGTTGATATGGTCATGCATGAAAATAATCATCAAAAAATCCATAAAATCATCAATAACCTCATCCTCCTCTGATGAGATCTTCATTGTATTGTTTTCTCTGTCGGATGACATATGGTTTTCTCTACATCACAGTAAAAGCATAATTATAAAATAATGTTTGACAAATTGTAACACTTACCATTATTGGTGAAACAGAATTAAAAAGTGAGTACATGAATAGCCGGCCGTAGTCATTTACCAACGTACAGTAAAATTCATACGAGAACAAAATTTATTTAATACGCAGTCAAATTGTCATAACAGAACATAATTTTAATAAAACACAAACTACTTAAAAGTTCAGGGCAAAAAAACATATGAAGATAGAAAAGGAAAGAGGATGTCATGGAATGAAAAAAAAAAGAATAAAAAACAAATTAGGAATAATGAAATCATCAAACAGTTTAGACAAGAAGATTCGCTAGCACAATCAAAACAGAACTTCTCACTTCACTGCAAAGCGAGGATCATGGCTAGGCGCAAATGGGTTGGAGTGTGCATAAAAAACCTTCGCCATTCCTTATCCTTGAACAGTGTCAGTGCCCTAATGTACTGCACCGGTGGTATGTCCCTAAGTTCTAGTAATGCATCTTGACATGCATCAAGGGAATAATCATCACCACCTGCACTTACAGCTTCTGTCTCATTTTCTTGTGCATTTGAATGTCCTATTTTTGCCTATACGTAGGATGTGAAAGCTGCGCACACATCATCAAACCCACTTGACCGTGACTTTTTGGAACGACCACTGTCAGTCTGGTTGGTTGTAGGGCCCCTCTTGTGACTTTTGCCCTTTGCTGGATCCATGTACTTATCGCCGAATAAGTCAACAGGAATGGCCTCAGTAGCATTACTCCCACCAACATTACTCCCACAAACATTAGGGTTCCAAAATATATTTAACATGTCATCTTTTTCTTCTGAGTCAAGGGCTCCTTGTGTGGATGCACGAGACAAGGCCCCTGTGGCACAACAATTTTCAACAATTTCTGTCATTTCTTGAAAATATTCAAATTCTTTGGTCCTAAACTTCTTCACATTTCTGCTAGCCTACAACAATTACAATTAAAGAATTAAGCACTGTATGTATCATGAAATGTTGAAAATAAAATTTCAAAATAGTACAGATTAATGAAAAACCTTATCCCAAAATTCATCGGGTGTAACAACAGTGCCTACAATGGGATCCCATCCCAGACCAGTCTGTGCCTGGAGTCGCTTAAATGTCTGGTAATCAGCTTTCAATCGCTGATATTTTTGGCGCACCTGCTTTCCTGTATACCGAAATCCATACATGTTGTGCAACTGATTCACATAATGATTCCAATGCCTAATTGTCCATGAAGTAGTACGGCCTGTTGTTTGATTTTTTCTAACCTCATCTCTCAACATATTTATTAATTTCGTTTCAATTCTGGGCGTCCACATTTTTGTATCTTGATCGTCATCGGAATTATTTCCATCCATCTATAAGCATACAAATTATATTTAAACTAGTTTGGGGTGGATATACAACAATAATAGAGCAAAATGGTTTGAAGGAGAACACAGATAAAAAATAAAAATGCAGATGATTTTATTGCAAGGAAAAAAATACATAACAGATTAGTTGAATTTAAATAGCAAAAATATAACCACAAGTAATAAAAAAAATTAGGTTACATTGTCTTGAAATAGTAGGAAAAAAACCAGTAGAAGACGAAGTAAGGAAGAAATAAAGGAAGAAAAAGAAAAGCAGAAGAAGCTGGGGACAAAGGGAGGACGGATAGGTCGACTGGCCGGATGACCCGAGGGACGATCGGCCGGGTATCCCAGGTATTGCCGGCTCAACTTCTCTTCGTGGCAAAGGGTTCAAACAGTTCAGAATTTAAAATACCAATAGATCTAAAATAAAAAAATACTCGTCTAAAAATTCTCAGATGAAATTTGGGAACCGATTTTCACTTCTCTGAAATCATTTGTACATAACAGATGAAGATTTATTTACTAGATTAGTGGCTATTCTTCTTGGCAAAAGGTTGAAACAGTTCAGAAAAATCACAAAACATCTGAAACTAAAAAAATACTCGGCTACACTTCTCAGAAAAGATTTGAGAACTGATTTCGACTCGTCTGAAATCATTTGCACATAACAGATGAAGGATTTATTTACCAGATTAGTGGGAGTTGAATAATTATCACCGGTGATGGAATGTGTATACTAACTGAATGTGCCACTCTTTGCTCGTCGGATTCGACAATAGATTTGATAAATTTGACCTGAAAAAAAGAGAATAAAATTAGGGATGAATTTTTCAAATCATTTCTCTATAACAAAATATCAATTGCATTTGTGAGTTATTTCACTTCGCACTCGTCGTTGTTTGGTTGCCTGTAATAAGAATCTTCCACAATGCATAAATTGTAAGTCAGTCGATTTGTAGAAGATGATACGAGTAGGGAGCGGGTTGGGTGGATTCATTATTTATAAAATGAGTCTGACTTCTCAGTGAAACCTACCCGTGACGAATCTTGAGTACTGATGTTTGATACAGAGAAAGAAAGATGAGATTCACGTGAAATTTTCAGAGACGATAGAGGACATGGAAGCTTTTCAGATCAAAAGAGAGAAAGAAATATGAGGTTCACGTGAAATTTTCAGAGACGATGGAGAAGGACATGGAAGCTTTTCAAATCAAAAGAGAAAGAAGGCAGAAACGTTGAAAGTGGAGAACTGAAGTACAAGCTGTCAAACGGGTTTTCAAACTGTAGTTTGAATTAACACGCAGAGTTGTATTTTGAACATCCTATCCAAACGTGAAGTGGGAGTTCACGTGTTGAAACTTAATTTGAAAACACAAACAAGCAGAGCCATAATTTTTACCAACAATGGTATCAGAACATACCACCAACACTGGTATCAAACATACCATCAAAAATACAAAAATTGTCATAGCATCCCACCAACAGTGGTATCAAAGTATACCATATGATTTTGAGATGTCACATGACAAGCCACATGACTAGCTACGTAATAACTCAGACTTAAAAAAAAAAAATTAGTACATAAATTAATTGAACAATATTTGAATTGGACTCGTGTAAAATTCTGTGTAAAAATAATCTGATTCTGTATTTTGTATTTTTTTTATATAGTTCCCTATCTCAGAAAATTATAAAAAATTTATATTTTATTCCCATATGAGTTTAACATGTTGGATAAAAATTTCAGAATTTAATTATGAGTATTTATTTTATAAAAATTCGCAAACTGATTGTGTAACAATCCGAAAATTTAAGTTGTCCCTTAAATTTTATACTAGTATTATGATTGTATGTGATAATATATTATTAAATAATAATAATAATAATAATGAGTGTGGTAGTAAAATAAATAATTAATTTTCTGTTGATATACGATAAAATATAATTTAATTAGGAATTAATTTATTTATATAGTTATATTAAAAAATTGGGCCAAAATATAATTATCTTAAATAATTATTAAAGATAAGGATCAATCCATGAAATTGATGATCGAATTTGAGAAGGATTTGGGCTGCCACATGATTGGCTCAGGAGACTTCTACCTCCTTATAAATAGAAGGAGATTCACCTAGAAAGAAAAGAAAGAAAAAGGAAAAGAAGGAAAGAAAGAAAATGAAGGAAAAAAGAGAGAAACGAAGGAATGAGGGAAAATGAGAGGAAGAAAAGGGAAAGAAAATAATGGAAGTCAAAAGAGTTTTTGGTAGTGGAAAGAAAGATGAACGTATTAAAATTAAAATAAAAATTAATATGAAATCACTAACTAAACAAGTAAAATAAAAATAAAAATAACAACAACCCACTAACTAATTAAACTAATCAGAATCACTAACGAAACAATTTAAACTAAACAAATAGAGGAAATAAAAATAAACTAAATTATTATTATTATTGGCACCTTTATTTATGAGTTTTTTTTTTTTTTTGCTTGAATTGTACGTGCGCCGGAGAGGGCTGCACGTGTGGCTCTCATCTTCTTCCTACGCAGATTTTTGTTTTGTTTTGTTTTTGTTTTTTTTTTTAGAATGAACAAACTAATAAACATGGCTAAATTAGTATACTGCAACTAAAGAAACACAAATAAAATAAATAAAATAGCATAACAAAAAAAAATAAACAACTAAATAAATAAAAAAAAAAGTAAATCACTTATGAACAAACTTTTTTTTTTTTTTTAAAGGATGAATCATAGATCAACAATACACAAAAACAAAAACAAAAACTCCACAAATATATTCCTACACCCACAAATCTACACAAAAGGAAAATTTACCCTAAAAAAATGGAGAAAGAGAAAAAAAGAATGGAGATTCGCCGGAAAAAATGGTGGTCACTGGAGATTCGTCGGACGGAGAGGATTAGGGATGCCGGCGGTGAGATGATGGTGGTGAGGAATAAAGAAAAAGAAGTAAAGAGAAGAAAAAGGAAGAAGAAGATGGTGATGGTGGGTTTGTGGGGTTAAGAGAGAGATAGATAGATAGAGAGAGATAAAGAAATCTGAGAGTGATTGTGAGAGGGATTGTGTGTTAGGTGTAAATAAGGTCAACTTTTTTTTTTTCTTAACGAAAATAAAACAAAATAAATAGAATAAAATAAGTTGAAAAAGAAAACAGATTTTTATTTATTTATTTTTTTTTATTTTTTTTTAATTTTTAATTTTTATTAATTTTTAATTTTTATTTATTTATTTATTTATTTTTCATATGTAAATAAATAAGGAATAAAATTTGTAAATAAATAAATAAAATAAAATAAATATACATTCGTTTAAATAAGTAAGAAGAAAGGAAAAAAATAATAATAATAAAAACAAAACAAAATCTGCAATTTAATTTTTTTTTTTTTTAAATGCTGGGCCGCGCGTGCGCCACATGGGGCGACTCGAGCGCCTAATTTGGGCTGCTTCTGCAGCGTGAAGCAGTATGCTTTTGGGGTTTGGCTGCTCGTGCGGCAAGCCCAACCGCTCGTGCAGTCTTTTTTTTTTTTTTTTAAATGCTGGGCCGCGCGTGCGCCACATGGGGCGACTCGAGCGCCTAATTTGGGCCGCTCCTGCGGCGTGAAGCAGTACCCGTTTGGGGTTTGGCCGCTCATGCGGCAAGTCCAACCGCTTGTGCGGTCTTTTTTTTTTTTTAATTTTTTTTAACACAAAGAAAATAAACTATGAAAGCATGCTTTTTGACAAAGAGGTTAAATACAAAGCTTGCCACAAACCTCAAAGCACAAGTTAAGAATGGTTTAATAGGACTAGGGCCACAAAACCATAAGCACCCTAGAACTAGCTTGAATACAACTGGAACCACAAAGCTATAAGCATTCCAGAAGGAACTTAAATAAGACAAAAACCACAAAGTTCTAAGCATTTTGAATGTGGTTGAATACTTGATTTCCTATAAACCACAAAACAGAAATCAAGGTCTTACCCAAGCTAGGGAGGGTCCCTTCCACCCACATGCATGCAATGACCTTTTTCTGCTACATTGCAACAACATATTTTAACAAAAAACAAGAAGTACTCGCAAGCGTACATGCTTCAAGAAAATGGAAAACTAACTCTTAGCACCTAACAAAAGGCACCAGAGTTATGGCATAAAGTTGCTACCTCAGAATCCCCCAGGTAATAAAACCCAGCGTAGCTTATAGCCTTCGGGCTACTGACCGAAAACAAGAAGTAACAAATACAACATTTTTTTTATTATTTTTTTTAGTATAACTATATATAATATATATATATATATATATTTACAAAAGATTAAAGAAAAGAAAATAAAAACCAAGTACAGCCCAAAGTATACTTAACCATTTCTACCTTCAATTGACATCCGAAATAAATATAGCATTTTAGAAAATATCAGAATGCCTACCAAAGATATAATCTTCACACGAAATCACGGGTACTACTTTTCTTCCTAACTGTGTTTGTAACTTTCCCTATTCTCCAATAGGGTGACAGACTAGGTTGATTCGGTATCCAGAATTGAGGCGCACAAAGTTACCTCAACCTATGGGGCTGCCATACAGAGTTCAAGCCGGAGTAGTTTTGAAGCAATCTCCACACCCCTGGGTATTTAAACCAGACTCTAGTCTCAGAAATTCCAAACTTTTGTGTTCTAGGCTTTGCCATTCGAACTCTAGTTTCCACCGTCTCAGTTGGTCTCCTAGGAACTTATTACAAACACGGTTAGGTGGCTATACCAGACCGTCAGATGCCGTTCGGGCATGGCTAACACCAAAGGAATTACACCTTTAGAGGATTTAAAGTCTCCAAGACGCAA